CTCAGACCTACGATTGGAGCAGCGAAGAGCGGCACGTGGTGCTGTCGTCCTTCTTCTGGGGCTACGTGGTGACGCAGGTGCCCTCCGGCTACCTGACGGCGCGCTTGGGGCCCAAGTGGCTGATGCTGGCGGGCGTTTCCGGCCCGGCGGCACTCAGCGCCGTCACTCCGCTAGTCGCCGACTGGGGAGGGTGGCAGCTCCTCACCGCCAGCCGCGTCCTGCAGGGGCTGCTGCAGGTAGGCGAGTGGGAATTCCGTGCAAACACTGAAATCGAAAGTGTGGTGAATTCACCCCATTCGGCTGGCTAATGTGTGGTTACCTCGTTCTGTCCCACGTGCAAATGTGGCAAGAATTACACCCTTCAAAATAGTGGTGTACGAGCCTATAGGCTTGTAATTTAGCCGTTGCCTCATGTATTGCGTAGTCAAGACCACCCTTTTTACACACTCAGACTGCTATTGACTTTTTGTCCTTTCTTAAAGAGTTTTTCTACACAGCAATAAAAAGTACTATTTCCCGAGGGGGCCACCACCCCCGTAATCCTGTGTACAAATTGGCTGGTAATCTCTGGTAATCCATGGCGTAATCACGTAATCCTTGACAAAATTCTGTCATTTTTCACCGTTTTTAGTCATTTTTCAACGTTTTTGAGCTATTTTTCAACGTTTTCGAACCAATTTTCGAAAATTTCACGCGTAATCCCCAGTAAATTTCCCGTAATCTTGTGTACGCCTGAAATGAGAGTGGTGGCCCCTCGCTATTTCCTCAATATCCATTTGAGATTTTGTTCGTTATATTGACTTTAAGTCAATTTGCTATTGACAAAGAGTCAATAACCTATAGGACATAGATGTCTCTACCATAGGCTTCTCGGGAAAACCCGGTCCCGTTTTTACTCCGTGCTCCTCCTATATTTTCACTGCGAGAAAAAACTACAGAGACGGCGACTACGGCGACGTCCTCGGGGACCCAACAGTGACCTTTAAGGCCATGCCGTCCCGATGTGGCATTGGCCGCTCGGACAACAGAGAGATGAACCCAAAAAAACAACAGTGAGCTCCGTCTTTTAAAAGACAGAGATCACTGTAGTTGTGGGTACAGAGCGACGCTGTGAAAAAATTAACAGTCTCTGAAGTTTTTTCTCGCAGTGTTGAAAGGTGGGCCAAAAATTGCTGACGATGGCATTTCCGCGATCAGGGCGCCATCTTCCCGGCGACGCATGCCATGCTGAGCCGGTGGTCGCCGCCGGGCGAGCGGTCGGGCCACACGGCGCTCACGTACAACGGCATGTCGGTGGGCACGGTGGTGGGCATGGCCAGCTCGGGGCTGCTGGCCGCCACGCCGGGGCTCGGCTGGCCGTCCGCCTTCTGGCTGCCCGGGCTGCTGGGCCTGGCCTGGGCCGTGGTCTGGGTGGTCGTGGCCGCCAACGCGCCCGCGTCCAGTCGGCACGTCAGCCGGGAGGAGCGCGAGTACATCGAGGAGTCCTTCGGAGACACGAGCAGCAAGGAAGAGGTACGAGCATTCCACTTAATCATCCAAAATTGTGTGCACAGCTGAGCCCGAAGTTATGCAAAATCAAGCATCTGCCTAAGCTAAGCTTCACTCAGCATGCACGGTAAAAACGGGTACTGTTTTCATCCGGAACTCTCTAGCCTATGTCTTTACCGGTCTTTACTGTATGCACACTCCCAATATCCTACTGAGCTTTTTAGCAGATGATACCTTTACTTAAAAACATCCCTAAAACTACAACTATAAGACACATAAAGGTGTCAGCTAGCTTTTACTCGAGAGTCCAAAAACCTAACAATATAATGGGGGCTGGCTGCCGGGCGGGATGGTGCGTCTGGCTGGCTGCTGCGCCTGGCTGCGGCGCACGCGCGGAATTCGACAATGGCACCCCCTCCTTGCGCGCGACGGCCTGCGTGCAACATTGACAATCCCTCCCCGCTACAGCGCAGAGGCACCGGGTGCTCGCCACTTAACGGGCACGGCGCGGCGGTGCAGGCTTTTAAATACTCTCTTTGGAATGAGCCCATTCTTCCCCGTAGAAGAAAACCAAACGAGTATCATCTGCTTTCATTAACGTTCGTTGAATGAGATTCTTCATAATACGAACAAAAGGCTTAGTATTATGACTGCACAGCGAAGGTAGTAACCCATCGTGAAGAGTTCTCAGTAACTTATGACCACTTTCTTCATATTAACACTGTTAAAAAAAATTACTGAAAATTCATAATTTTTTGTCAGAAGTCGATTTACTTACATTCAGTCTGAATTTTCATACCAAAACTTTCATACTTCGAGGTCTTAAAGTTTCAGACGACGTTAGTCTGAATTTCCAGATCAAAATGTTGTATGAAAAATGATACCAGTCGGTCTATTTTATCAGACTAAATTGTACGAAGAACATGAACAGTCAAACTAAAAAATGCCTCTCAGCAGAGTGGAGCCCAAGTCGGCTAACTTTTGCCATCAGTTTGTCGTAGACGCTCAGCAAATCGTCTCGATGCAAAAATTAGGTAGACGGCAGCAGCCATCTCCTTCACGAGGCAGTGAAGAGTCTAGAGGTGACTGTTGAAGTCCGAGGGTGAGCGGCCTTAGCCCAACCACGCGTCGACCCGTGGCCATGCGCAAGAGGGAAATTGGAGTCTCTGTTATTTAGCTTATATTGCACTTATTAACATCAATCTTGCTGTGGTGCGCTCATGCCCTTTCAGACAATCACTTGGAATAAGTTTGTAATTGCGAACAAAATTTTTCTGTATTATGACCGATTTGTGTCGTAATGTACTGAGAATTAGCTTAGTATTATGTCTGCTCGGCATTTCTCTGTAGGAAATTGAGAGTGCACACTGAAAATTGAATGGTCGGACACATGGATTGGCGTGACAGGAAATTTACGCCGAGGCACATGACGTGTGCGTCACACCGTCGCATCACACTCCTGATTTCCTTCTGAGAAATGCCGATCAGCCATAATACTAAGTTTATTCTTAGTACATCACGACACAAATCTGCCATAATACAGCGAAATTTGTTCGTTATATGAAGAACACTGCAAACCTAACTGTCTACTTAGCACGCACTTACAAATGCATGCTTGCAAGTACACACTTACAAACGCATGCTTGGCGCCGTATAACTCCATGCTAAGCATAGGCGTTTGTAAGTGTGTACTTGCCAAGCATGCATTTGTAAGTGCATGCTTGGCCAAGCATGCGTTTGTAAGTGTGTACTTGCAAGCATGCATTTGTAAGTGCGTGCTAAGTAGACAGGTTTGCAGTGAAAGTGGTCATAAGTTACTGAGAAGTCTTCACCATAACTTCGCTGCGCAGTCATAATACTAAGCTTTTTGTTCGTAACGTTCGTATGTTCGTATATTAATATATTACGAAGAAAAAGCTCAGTAGGATATTGGTAGTGTCTTTTGAAACAAAGAGATATCCAAATGACTTGCTATTCTGCGGCACGACGTGCACTGGTAAAACTAAGGCGTAACTCCATGCTTGAGTCAAGCATAAAGTTACGCTTGAAGACACGGTTGAAAACAAGCATACCCTGGAAATTCCCCCTGCATTTAGATAGGGGGAATCTTGGCGGGGAAGTCTGTCACGCTTTTTTTCAAGCGGAAACTGATTACGCTTGAAAACAGAGGGTAATACTACGCTTAAGTTTTACCAGTGTGGTCAACATGGTCTTGAAAGCTTTGTAACGTCTGCCTGGCAGCATTTGGCGGTGCCTTGGCGGGCCATCATGACGTCCGTTCCCATGTGGGCCCTCATCGTGGTGCACTCGGGGCACAACTGGGGCCATTGGATGCTGCTCACCGAGATGCCCGACTACATGAAGGCTGTGCAGCGGTTCAACATCCAGGCCAACGGGCTGTACTCGGCACTCCCGTACCTCTGCCTCATCGGCACGTCGCTGCTCGTCGCCTGGCTCAGTCAGGTGATCAACACACGACGGCTGCTCTCACTCAAGATGTCGAGGAAGATTTTCCAGTCTGCAGGTGAGTGCTGCACATTTTTTCGTGCTCAAACAAAATATCGTTGAACGTATATTTGTTTAACTCAAACGCAAGGCAAGAATGCTTGATTTTCTCTGAAATGATACGCGAGTGCACAAAATCTGAGACAGATTCAACGCCTGCGCTTGCAAGTACATGTGTACTTGTCCCACAGTATGATTAGCGGTAAATAGAGGGTGGCCGTGTAGTGTACATGCCAGGCCGACGCAATAGAGCATTCTGGTCGTCGCCGATCGAAGAAGAAGATCGAGGGGTCCTATTCAAATGATCTTATCTGGGCGTTCCCCCTCAAGAGAATCTTATCTTAAACGCAGGCGAATTTCACTCATTGTGACCATTTGGGACGGATGCGAGAGTAAGCGGAATATAATTCTACATGCCCTATTGGTTTCTTTGATCTTTCATCTTCAGATATAATTAAATAAAATCACAAATTATATTGATTTGTAGCTGTATCAAATGATGACACTGAGTGAAATGCACCTGCGTTTAAGTTAAGATTCTTTTGGGGGGAACGCCCAGATAAGATCTTTTGAAAAGAACCCCTTGAAATGTGGACAAATATTTCTATTTTATTTGCCCAAATGTATTTGAAACTAACGAAAGAGCTTTTAGAAGTGATACCCCTCGGAAAACTTTTCGACTAAAGTGTTTTTTGGCTTTTGCAGCTCACTGGGGCGCGGGCACCGCCATGCTGGTGCTGGCCCTGGTCGACGTGGACCAGGCGACGGCGGTGGCGCTACTGTGCGTGGCCGTGGCCGTCGAGGCGGGGACGCTGGCCGGCTTCCTGTGCAATCTCATAGACCTGTCGCCCAACTTCAGCGGCGCCATGATGGGCGTTTCGGGCGGTGCTGGTGCACTCGTAGCTGTTGTCGCGCCGCTCATCGTGGGGGCAATCACGGGGGAAGAGGACAGCCTGAGTCACGAGGTAGGGGGAAAGGCCCTGTTCCGCTGCTTGGAAAAAAAGGAAGAAAAGAAGACTGCAAGAAAAGTCAACAACAAAAGTACACAAATTTCTGGCAAATTTTTTATTAGGAATTGAATGTACTTTCAAAGTACAAAATGGTTTAGAAAGTACAATGGAACCGGCATAAGGGGTGCTGCATCTCTGTCGTTGTGGTTTGTACAATCCTCGTTGTACTTTCTACAATCCCTGTTGTACTTTCATTGTACAGTTTTTGTTGTAGTTTTATTGTACTATTCACAATTTTTCTTGCACTTACGTGTACACTGCCGTCCACTCGCCTGCGGGGGGATGGAACTTCCGCTGCCCCTTAACCCCCTGCAGGCGAGGGAACAGAAGTTGAGCACTTCGTTTCTTCATCTTTTCCAAGCAGCGGTATAGCCAATTGCCCCTTTAGAAGTTGAAATGGAGCCTGGTTATGAACGTCGACGCGCCCCTTCACTTTCTGAAGAAGGACTGTTAGCTCTAGCTCCTCCAGAACACAGTAAAAACTCCCTACATAGAATCACTTCGTAATAGAAAGAAAATGCAGGCCTTGTAAAATGTACGAAGAAATGCTTCGTATTATAAAGTTTAATCCTTCAAAACGAAGCATTTCTTCATAATACAAAGCAATTCTACAATGCCTAAATTTTCTTTGTAGTTATGAAGCGAATGCTTCTTAGGCTTAAAAGAGTGAATGTGCTGCCGATCAGTTTTGAAACGGCAGGCCATCATTGGTGGTGCGATGAGAGGCACTGCGGTGTCAGGTGTTACTCGCGCTACTAATTGCCCTAAATTCCTCAGCGATACGGCTTGTGCCTCTCTCCTCCCTATCTAATCCGAATGCCATAAACCCATCCATGCGCGGTAGTCCTCAATTCGCTCAGCAGGAAAAAGATATTTTTTTCCGTCGATAGTGATCTATGTATTGCGTACAGTGCTAGGACGGAGTTCTTCAGTGTTTTGGCAAATCTTTCATGATATACAAGAGCACACGCTGAAAACCGTACGAAGTATTTTGAGCATAAGGGAGTATGGGGCGATTTGTAACAGATTTCGGAATTCGCTATACAAAATTAAGAACATTCTGCATATCGGTGTCAAACTTGTGCCAGTTGAGCAGTCTGGCCCTTCATCTAGACTGTGCAGCTCCATTGGATCAATCTGGAGTCCGTAATCTTTGAAATCTAAGACGTTTTTCAAACCCTTGCATGCTGTTACGAATCGCCCCAGCATGGGGCGATTTGTAACAGCCATGGGGCTTTTCATAACATCCTACACATTAAATGAAACGTCGTCGGGAATGTTATCCCCTCCACCAGTTGTTCTTCGGGTGTACTGCAGACGTCTAAAAATCTACATTACAAGCTGTCGTTGACCGCCTCCGCATTAACGGATCGGCTATGTCAATCCTAACCTCACTTTTTTCAATTTTAGATGAAAGAATAGAATAACTCGCTTTAAAATGCATTTCGAGCTGTGTAAATAAATTGGAATAAGGCAGCAGATGATTCGAGAAAAAATTCAAGCATTTAATTGCTAAAACTACAAAGATTCTTGTTTTTATACGGGTCTGTTACGAATCACCCCAAATGCCTGTTACGCAAGAAATACGTCCCTAACTATCACTGGACAAATTAAAAGCAACTTATACCACGTGGTTACATTGTAAAGGGGTCACGCTTCAAGGCCCCAACGGTGCTTCGATGGTGATTCGTACCTGGGGAGCCTCAGACAGAAACTTCCTAGAACTCAAAATAAAAGATTTTTCCTGTTTGCCGAAATTTCGGTGTACCCTATATTTCAGACGCCCTCCAAAACTATACCTGAGCACCGATCACATCCGCTTCGATTGTTCAAGGACCCTGTACTTGAAGCGAAAGAGAGGCCATACTCAGATTTTCCTCTGCTCCCTCCACTTAAATTAATAAACGCATTTGTTACTAATCGCCCCTGTAATCGCCCCATACTCCCTTACATAGTAAAAACTAGGGTGCGTCGATATGCACGACTTTTCAGATGCAGCTTTTGGGTAGCACTCAAAAGTTTCGTTTTTTTGTGCTGATTCCATAAATGACCTCGGTTTTGCGATAGGACAAAGCCTTCATGACCCTACCGGGCGTTTTATGTCAAAAAGCGGAGTTTTTGTATTTTTTCTTGTTTTTTGGCTCCGCATTCTATCCCAAACTGTCGGGGCGGCTGTTGCACGGTCGGATGGCCACCGCCTACACTAAATACAAGTTTTGCAGCTTGGCAGGACCACCGGACACCTCACGTGTGTGTCCCAAACCTCAATTTTCACCCTTCTTTCACAACAATTTTTCACTTTTTTCCCTTTTTTTCAGCTTTTATCGAGGATTGTACCGACCCAGTCGGTCTATACCATGACCAGAGGTTGTATAAAACAGTGCAGGGGTACATAGAACGCAAGGCAGCCCCCGGACCGGGGCTGTGTAGGGAGGGGGAGGAGAGAGGGAGGGGAGGCGGAGAAAACAAATGCCCAAAATCGGCCCAAATCAGCTGTTTGGCCCTGTTTTGCCTGTAGCTAAATACTGTATTGCGGTGCAGCTAGCTCGGCAAGTGTTTCTTCCCCTTGCCTACGCAGGACTCACCACGAACAGCGGACCAGCGGCAGTGGTGGGGACTGGCGCGGGGCACCGTGAGACTGTGCCGCCCCTGGCGGACGAAGGACTATGTAGGTGGGTCCGAACGGAAAAAGTGGAAAAAATATTAGTGCGGACATAACTGAGCTTCTTCAATAGTTAGTTTGATTGGTGTTTGTGATTTTAATTTGTAATAGACCGTGTGAAGATGTTTACAGATGTTTTAAGCCGATGAGGTGGTTTTCACATGTACATGAGACTACACATACATTGTCACACACGTAACAAGTCGCTCCCTTCTTAGGCTCACTGCTTGCCTCTGCAGACCATGTCTGGAGCGCATGTGCCTGTACAAGGTTTTCTTGTGTTCATATGTAGCTGGACACCGGAGGCCAGACAAGAAATTTTTTATAGAGAAATGATCAAAGAAGTCTAAGGCAGCCAGTGTTGTTACTCACAGTGAACATGCTTCCTTTGAGTACATCTTCACAGGTTGACCGACAGAACAGAAATGACCGATAATCGCGCGCTTTTCCCTAACATTTGTTTTGCTACTTGCTTCTTTTGTTCTGACAACTTAATTAGGGTCAGTTGGGGTTCTTATGGGGCATGGGGTAAAAATGGGACAGCTGATTTTTAGTCAAGAATCGAGATTTTAGAACTTGTGCCGTAGCAAAAATTGTTTTCTCAATAAAAACATCACATTTGGTATGTAATGCGTTCAAAAATGTCAAATCTTGACTAAGAATCAGCTGTCCCATTATTACCCCGTGCCCCATGATTACCCCAACTGACCCTAGTTCGCTCCTTTTTCAAGCGGTGTCTTCCCTTCCCCGGGCCAGTTTGAAATTTCGCGTCTCACGGTGCCCCGCGCCAGTCCCCACCACTGCCGCTGGGGGCGCTCCGATCGGCGGTGCTGCGGCATCTTCCTGCGCGTATCCACTCGTAGCGGACGCGCTCGTGGTGAGTCCTGCGTAGGCAAGGGGAAGAAACACTTGCCGAGCTAGCTGCACCGCAATACAGTATTTAGCTACAGGCAAAACAGGGCCAAACAGCTGATTTGGGCCGATTTTGGGCATTTGTTTTCTCCGCCTCCCCTCCCTCTCTCCTCCCCCTCCCTACACAGCCCCGGTCCGGGAGCTGCCTTGCGTTCTATGTACCCCTACACTGTTTTATACAACCTCTGGTCATGGTATAGACCGACTGGGTCGGTACAATCCTCGATAAAAGCTGAAAAAAAGGGAAAAAAGTGAAAAATTGTTGTGAAAAAAGGGTGAAAATTGAGGTTTGGGACACACACGTGAGGTGTCCGGTGGTCCTGCCAAGCTGCAAAACTTGTATTTAGTGTAGGCGGTGGCCATCCGACCGTGCAACAGCCGCCCCGACAGTTTGGGATGGAATGCGGAACCAAAAAACAAGAAAAAATACAAAAACTCCGCTTTTTGACATAAAACGCCCGGTAGGGTCATGAAGGCTTTGTCCTATCGCAAAACCGAGGTCATTTATGGAATCAGCACAAAAAAACGAAACTTTTGAGTGCTACCCAAAAGCTGCATCTGAAAAGTCGTGCATATCGACGCACCCTAGTAAAAACCCATTTCACTGTGTTGTGCCAAGAAATAGTTCGTAAAGTACGAAATATTTTCTTTGTAAAGCTTATGTATGCTTGAAATACTTCGTAAAAACGAGGTGCGTTTCATTGTTAGGCCTAAAATAGTTTGTAAGGTTTTCGGAGTGCATCTTCACAAGTATCCACTGAAAAATAGAATGGTAGGACACATGGCCCAATTATGGCGTGACCCAAAATCCCGCCAACAATTGGCGTGACTGGAAATTCACCCCGGAAAACGGCATGACGTGCAAAATCCTACGTAATACGTAGCATTCCTTCATTCGAAGCAATTCTAACAATGACTTCATTTTTTTGTAGTTTTGAAGCAACTGCTTCGTAGGCTTTAAATAGTGTGTTGGTCGCCCACCCTCACAGTAAAAACTCTACGAAGAAATAAATGTATGAAGCAAAATCCTTCGCAATACGAAGCATTTCTTCATAAAACGAAGCAATTCTACAACACCTTCCATTATCTTTGAAGTTATGAAGCAAATGCTTCGTAGGCCTTTAAGAGTGCACTGTGCTAAAGGCAGAAGGGCCTCCGCCTGTAGTGACTCAATGGGCAGGGGCGCACTGGCCCCAACCGCAGTTCATCCTTTGAGTGCCGCATCGCGCAAACCTTTTCACTCTTTTCCTTTGCCGACAGGAAGTGACTACGCGGTGGAACACCGTGTTCATCCTGACTGCGTGCATTTACTACATCGGCAATTTGGTCTGGGTATTCTTCTCATCGTTCGAGGTGCAGCCTTGGAACAACGTTGCCAGCAAAACGGAAGTGGAGCCAGTGCAGAACAACAGCTAGTTGTGTGAGCATAGCATTTCACATTGACCCATTGATCCAGGAAGCGGAAGAAGGGAATAATTCGACTAATCTCCAAATTGAGTGTTTCTTCTTATTATTGCGCGTCAGGATGGCTTGCATCATTATACCAAACTATTTGAACCAATTCATAACTGTTTGGGAGATAATCCACATAAAAATTAGTTATAACTTAACTTGACTCCTTTTACGGTCTAAATTTCATCGGGAAATGGAGAACTCAACCTTTGCTCAAAGTGGCAAGAGAAGATAACTCAACTTGTGTTTTTATAAATCTAATGTAAAAAGTATCAACACAACTGAACTCCCCCTTACTAGTTGGGGAAAAAGTACCAAATATGTACCTTAGCTATATAGTCTCTGCGCACTTGAATTGTCTCCAAATTCCACAGTGTATGGGAGAACATGCTTCCGTAGTCCATTCTAACTTAAAGATGTAGATCACACTAACCGAGTAGAGTGATTTTACACTTATGAAAAGTTTCACAGATTTTTTGACAAAAATACAACTGCATCATTCATCTGATTGAGGTTATTTTACCCTGCAAACTGTTTTGTTTTTTTTTTATCTCCTGAAAAATGATGAAAATTGAGTTATTCCCTTCTTCCGCTTCATGGAATCAGTCGGTTGATTGGTATGAATGCTTCAAAGATATTTCAAAAGACAGACGACGCTTGGGTTGGCGACGAGTCAGGTCACGCGGCACAAGTATGATAAATCGCTATGGCGGTTATCTCATCATAGTTGCCGAAAATTGAATGCTGTCATGTAACTAATCATCTGATTGTGATGAAACTTGACGGGGACCTGTAGAATTGTTCGCTTTACAACGTGGTGAAGTCAGATTTGCGATACGACAACTAGTTTCTTCAAGTGAAGCTTTACAAAATACGTTTACTTTTAGGTTTAGTTTGTAGTGTTTTAAAACTAATTCCAAATGTGAAAACTGAAACGTCCGTTTGAAAAACCGTTACCACAGGGCGATAGAGAATTAAATTCCGCGTGGTATAGCGTAATGCAGAACGATAAACAAGTGCGAAAGAGCTACGAAAAGTATAACTGCTTAGTCTATAACTGCTTTTGGTCTAATTTTGCGAATTACAATATGGGTCACCGTGACCGTCACAGATGTCATATCGGCATTCCAGTATGCTTATGCAACAGGGAAAATGGAGGCCAACAATATGCTCGCTGCATGTATGGACCTAAAACGAACGGAAATCATTTTTTTCGTTGTTGCAAAACATTGAATTGGCTTAAATTGCCGGTAAATGTGATTTTAAATTTAGATTTAACATTTTGAACGGGTCTAAAACTGTAAGCCATGGACACATATGAATCGGAAATTTTGTCTAGATGCTGAAAATGACCTGGGTTTTTCGATTTGGTGGAGTTTTGATGAAGTTATGTTGATTTTAGTGACACCGTGCACAGCGGTCAGCCGCGCGTCGCTTGCCGGCCCGAGCGGGGAGCATCGTTTCACGCGCCGCCTAGGCCGTTGCCAGCCCCTGGTCGTCCTTTCTACACCTTACCTCGGCAGAGGGAACCTCAGCGGCTGCACGCTCCGGCTCTTAGTGTGACCAGCCCTTGGGGGCCTATGTGCCCCCGAAAGGGGTCACATAGACCTCCACCCCGGAACAGCCTCTTTGAGCACGACCGAGACCGGTGCCCCCTTGCTTCGCCCCATTGTCTCGGGAACAGAGAAGATTTCTTCTTTGACTGCTACGCTCCAGTCCTAAGGCGGAGACAAGCTACTGACCCACGAAACTGGAGTCACCACTGGCGCCGAGCGCCGCGCAGAGAGCAGTTTCGTGGGACACTCAAGGGTTCTCTGGGCAACTCTGGCGACACCTCGCCGGCCGGCCTGCTTACCGTCTAACCACCTCTTCCACACGCGGCGCAAACACCTTCAGCGTAAGCTCGCCCTGCGTTGTGCGCCTGGCAGATAGGCAACTGCAGTGGCTTGCCACGCCCCGCTGCCAGATAGGTTGCCTGTCCTTCAGGAGCTATCACAGATCACTTAAATGTTTCCCACCCGCTTCCTCAGAAGCCACATCATTGCTGGGAATCGTTAGGTCACATATTTAAAAATAGGTGTTTTTTAAAAATAAAATACGAGTTAATAATTATTAATAAAGAATGAATTGTTATGATATGAAACAATAGAGAACATAACCAAAGCACGGCCATTGACGGTCAGTCCCCAGTTTTCTAACCACTGCCCTAGTGATCCTGGCCAGGACCTCAACCCTTTCTTCTTTCTGTTCTTCCCCCAAATACCCTGGTTCCTAAATCCCGTTGGCCATGCACCCCCACTCTTCACTATTGTTCTTCCCTATGTTCTTCTGCATCTGTAATATAAAGGCGCGCTGTCTGGCGCCAACCACCATTCTGTAAACGGTCACCTTGTTGATAACACAGAAGCTTCCGTCTCCACGAGACCTTCGACTACCCTTTCCCTCCAAGTCCCTTACACTGCCACACTACAACAGAATATTATGCTAAATAAAAAATATCAATTGCAATTATCTTGTATTATTTCAATTAATATGAAATTAATCCTGAGTTGGCCCATGCAGAGAAATGTACACAAAATGCAAAGAGATAAGAAAATGTACTGAAATGAGTGAAACGCGTTTGTTAAAATGTTGTTAAAATGTTTGTTTGGTAAAATGTACCCGAAAACATGCACAGCGGGGTGGTTTGGATCGAAACGTACATTCTTGGGCCTCGAATTCCGTGCAAATAAAGTTGAACCAAACTTCATTTTTCTGGGCAATTTATTTGTTTAGGCCCGGCTAGAAAAGAAATCCTTCGGCCCACAACGCCCGTATGAAAAAGAAAACACCCGAAATCCTTCCGACGTCGGAAGGATTTCGGTAGTTCCCCGATCGGGCAACTCCGAAATCCTTCCGATTTTACCCGTCGGGGTCTTCCGAACTTTGGCCGAAAACGACCAAAATAAGACAGATTCTGGTAGTACTCCGAAGCCTAGTTTCGGAAAAGATCTCGGATTTCATGTGTCGGGCCCGGCCGAAATCGTTCCGAAACAAATGGTTCACGGTGCGGGGTGGGGACGAGGAGTGTGTAGGAGTGGGGGAGTGGAGGCATGCCTCTCCTTACCAATACATAGAACAATCTTTAATCGAAATTATCTTTGTTCAATTGAAGAAATGAAACATTAGACAAGTGCTTTTATAGTAGTTTCCAAGATAGCAGAAAAATAATGTTCGATTGAAAAAAAAATGGCACTTGTTAATTTTTGCGTTGATTCCCCACACCAAATTTGAGCGAAAAATTCCAAAAATTAAATTTAAAACCATGAAAAACTTAATCTCAAAGTGTGGATTTGTTGACGTGACGTGTACCCTTCGCGAACCATCGGGGTTGCCCGATATCCTTCCGAACTTCCGAACAGACTGCTTTCGGGGTCTCGGAAGGATTTCGGGGTGCCCCGAGAAAGTCGGAAGGATTTCGGGGTCTTCAACTCCGAAATGGCGCGACGTCGGAACGATTTCGGTAGTAAGGGAGGGTGGGGCACCATGACCACTTTTTTTTTGTGCCCCCCTCTACTCCACCGTGTGGTTCGAACAGTTAAGTTTCTAGCATGAGGGGATTCTTTGGACCTCCAAGGACCTCTTCCACCCATTGGAACTTGTCTGCAATGCACGGCAGGCTCACAGAACACTTTGGAAAATAAAACGCAAAGTGGTCATGGTGCCCCACCTATGGGGCACCATGACCACCCCGTGGGGCACCATGACCATAGTAATTTTTTGGCCCAAAAAAGTGTACTTTCTACCAGTATTCTCATTGAAATTGTTTATATCGCTGTCATTACCATCAGGCCAGGCAACTAAACTAAAAAACACTGTAAAAACCTTCGAAGTATCAAACGTTCTAAGATGCCTTGAAATGGACGGTTTAAAACAGTTAACGCTCTAAGGCTTTCAAATTTCACATCCAAAGCTATGACATGTGTTGCCATTTTATGTTTGTCTTGCTAAGACGAGTCCAAATTCGTATGCAGATTTCAATTTGGAAAATTTTAAGAAAATTATCGCGGTTACTACACTGCAAACAAGTGAATTAAATGCTGTTTCTCATAATGCCAGAGCCATCTTGGTGCAAAGTAGCCACGGATCGCCTTCGCGGCCAACTTTTGCGGTTTGGAGCTCATTTAGTGCAAGAGAAACCACCATTTCAAGTCTCAGTTTCAGAACCATTCTTAATCATCTTGGTGATTCACAAATTATCACAAATTTGTGATAAAACTATCTATTCTGCAGCAATTATTCAACCTTTATACATTTTCAGAAGCAAAAAGCAAATTTTCGACGAAAATAAATCATTATCAGGCCAAAATATGAGAAAAAACACTCAAATATGTGTGGTCATGGTGCCCCACTAAAAAGTGGTCATGGTGCCCCACAGTGCAGTTTACGACTCTAAGGCTCCCCGAGCAAGCAAACAACTACTTAGAATTAAATGTGATGTTGGATATTTTGCCGAAGAGCCGACATTTTGAGAAAAACCTAAGACATCGAACCTATCTTCTCAAATGTGAGAGTGAGAAAAAATATCCCAGATTTGAAAAACGCCCAATTTAGCCAAAACGCTGTAACAAAAATTTTGGCGAGGTGCTATGGTCGTACCCTTGAAGCTAGAAGGTAGGGCTCTGGCTGAAAATAGTTAGAATTCTATTCTCTCGAAAGTCCGGTCGACCGGTTGCCGTCGGCAAAGTAGTTCCCGAGAGCGAGGGGGGTGGTCATGGTGCCCCAGTGGTCATGGTGCCCCACCCTCCCTTACCCCGACGCCCACACCCCTCATTTCGGAAGGATTCTGGGAGTACTCCGAGGATTTCGGCCAGATTCTTGTAGTTTTCATTTTTACACGGGCGCTCAGTTTTGTCTTAAAGAAAATGCAAAAGTCCCATGAATTTTATGTGGAAATTTGCAGAAAATTGACCAAGTGTTGCGAGTGTAGAAGTTGGGAAGTTTAGAATCGTAACTTTGACGGTACGTATCGGTCATATCTATTTCCATAATATTACTTTCCTGGCTGAGTGACAGCAGAGGCCATCCTGTGAATGGGGGTTGATAATTCGTTGGTCGTGCGTGGGTCTTTTTATCCGTCTGTTGTGTTCCACTTTTCTGAGGAGACGACTGCATGGATAAGGCTCAAACTTTGCATACGTGCTCTATTTATAACCAAGTTAAGGGGGCACACCAGTGAAAATGCAGAGGTTTCGTAACACAGTCACTCTGTGAAAAGTAACGGACGTATTGTCTTGATATTTTAGTTTTAACTTAAAAAAATATACTAAACTAAACAAAAAGCGACACTGCGGCAAGTAGTGGTGATGGAAAGGGGGGCTGGGAGTCAGTTTCCGATTTCATCGACATGTTGTCATGGTGCCCAAGATTGCGCTGCTACCAATTGAGTTAAAAAGACGCGGTTTGAAAAGTTCTCATCAGGACACATGTGGCTTTCGTGTGAACCACGGGCATGCCAGCCAAAAAAAAATAGAATGCAAAATAAACCAAATTTTTCACTTTTTAATGATTGCTGCTCGAGCAGCTCGGTCGCGATCGCGACCTGTTAGTGCGATGCTAATATCCGAGGTTCACACGATAGAGGAACGTGAAAGTAACATTTTGCCGCAAACCGCGTCCAATTATCTCAATTTTTGCGGTCGTGAGCCTAGGCACTAGGTCCAAAATTAGTGTTTTGAGAAAATGGCGTTAGAAATGAAAATACGGTTTACACGCATTTTTCCCCATCGACATGTTAAAAAGTTACAAGAGTCAAGATCGTGTAATTTGTAGATGAAGCAACTCTATCTAGAATGGAGTGGGGGGGGGGGGAGTCCCCCAACATGCAACAAATTAGAAGTGATCGACGGTGGACAAGTCAATGCCTGCCGAAGGCAGGCTAGCGCCGCAGGCCAAGGTAGGTACGCCAGGCGCGGATTGGAGGAACACGCAGCGAGACATCGCGAAGCCTGTTACGACAAGACGCGGTCTGGCGTACACTTACCTTGATATCACAATGCTTTGTTACGCATTTGGGTGTAATCACAAATCTACCGATGGATAATGTAATTTTAAAATGTTCCCATTAGACAGGAAATTGTTAAAGGCCAGGGACAGGTGAAAAAATGATCTCAGAAACTGCTGGTCCAAAACTTCTTATTTTCTGTCAAAATCTTACTCCTGATGAAAAACTACTTCACCCAAAATCCCATCCCATAATGTACAAGTCCCGGACCCAGCAGGCAGTTTAGTGGGCCAGAGCACTTGTCAGGGATGTAGCTCTCTGATGGTCAGGGGGTTACTCGGGTGGGAGGGTTGTAGAATAAGAAAGGAGTCCGGTTACCTTGATACAAGCTCTCAGCACTCCCGACTCTTGGTTTGGTCTTGGCCGCTGGCAGGCCCCACACCGACTGCCGAGCCCCGGCACGGCTCGCCAGTCGGTTCCCTACCTTCCCGAGCATCTGCCTTCGCTTGCACTTTTCGGCTGGGCGGTCCCCGCGTGACCACCGTCACATCACCCCCAACCGAAAAAGCGTGCGACCCCGCACGCCCAGCCACCCCCCCACGGACAGGTGCAGCTGGCATGCAGGGCCAAAAGTTACTGAATTTAAAGCGTAAAGCCGAAAAAAGAAGAACGAACTAAAGTGGAGATGCCCGGGAAGCGACTCGAAAAATTAAATACAAAATCTAAACGCGAAATGGAGATTTGAAATTGAAGGCCAAAATGGCGAATGGACTAAAGTTAACTTGACTGAACGAATTTACCCTTTGGGGCGAGCCAGTTAGCTGGGCAGCCCTATGCTGCGGAAAAACATTGCGAAAATTGTTGAAAAATTTAAACATTGAAAACTGAGACTTTGGAAATTTCTATGCGACTATGAGCTGGATGCCAGCTAGGATGAGTGCAATGTTTTCCCGAACCATAGAACCGCCCCAGACGCAAATCAAGTGTTGGTGGTGTAAATGGGACAGAGCAATTTTTTATTTAATTTGGTGCCAAAGAATGAAGAAATTTTAGATGGAAAAATAGAAAGAGAAGTCGTCGGCGGAGCTGCGATGCGACGTCCACGGGAGTGTTCTGCGAAGACGCGCCATCAACGGAGAGGCGCGGCGCCCGCGTCTCGA